CTATCACTCGACGTTATCACTAATTGTAAGTTGACATTACATCACCAATCGCTATTACAACCACATTAAATTTGAACTTTAAGCACTCAACACACTATAAAATATTCGCTTCAGCTCCACTCTAGATAATAACTACTATCACATTTTGTAACGATCACTTACTGATGATGTGCAATAGCACATCACGAAATAATCCCTTCCTGGCTTTCACTACTTCACATGATTACTTCTGTTAAATGCGATGATTTATTACTACCAATCCGGTTTTCAGTTCATAATTGTTCTGTGATGTGCATTCAGTTCAAATAGTTTTAAAGTATCGCCTCCCTTCCTCAACAAGAATGCCTTCATTCCCATCCCATCGATAGGTTATCAACGAAAAGTTAAGAGCTGATAATCTTGCAATTTGACGAGTAAACACAAACAATAATAATAATAATCATTAGATCATGATAATCATAAGAAAATACGTACATTGACCATAATAACCAAAAAAGAATCGAGAAACTGACAATTGATAACAAGTGATACGGTGATCTGGATTGAAGACGGAGTGATGATGGTAATGATGAGACAATGATGATAACTGAAGTGTTAACAGAGTGATGATATAAGGTAATGCTGTGATCAGTTGAAAATCAAGGAACTGAACAGTAAATTATCTAACACTATGATTTGTGGAATTGTTCAAGAAAAAATTAGTGAATTTAAATCATTTAACATTATTAAACGGTCATCAAACAACATCATCAGCATGTTACACTTCTATCAAACTCGTTATCAATGTCGTGATTGTGACTCATAAAAAGAGATTAGATCAAAAATAGGACTCAGTTAATGAAAGATGTTAAGGAGGCACATAAGGTGGCGGAAGTCGTTGGTTAGTGGCCGAACTTCGTGGTCGAGGACTTGAGGTGCTCGAAAGAGGGGGTGGGGGTTTATAGAGATGGTTGTCATGAAAGTGCGGATGCGGCGAGGTGGTCGGTATTATCAGAGGGGGTCGTTCCTCTCGGACCAACATCGGCGTGGCTACCGTTACAGCTTCGTCTTCTTGAGGAATTTCTTCGGGAAATACAACTGGCATTCCTTTGGAGACATATTCTGATGGAACTGCAATTACAACGTTCAATTAGATACTTGCTCGATTCAAAGCGAACACTCGGTCTGAATATGCACTCGCTTGTGAACGGATTCCTTAGACGGAGAGGAAATTTAGAGACGTAAATAGATTCTTCGGAAATCCTTCAGAAAGAAACTAAAACGATTCCAGAATTGGTTATGAAATCTTAGAGTTTAGTTTTTTTACTCTTATGAAAAAAGAAATAAAAAATAAACTCCAACCAGCTTTCTGATGTTTGCGTTTACTTAAACAGCAAACAAGAATCAGCACGATCAAAAGAAGCAGGAAAACTGCCCCCAAGACAATCGGAATCCACAGCAACGATGGCAATAACGACGCAATTTCTGGCTGCGGTGAGGCTGTCCCTCCGACCGGAATATTTGACTCACGTTCCGGTGCAACGGTTGTCATCTCCAGACATG